GGGGGGGGGGGGGGGGGGGGGGGGGGGGGGGGGGGGGGGGGGGTTTGTGGGGGGGGGGGGGGGGGGGGGGGGGTGGGGGGGGGGGTGGTCGCGCGCGTGTGCGAGGGAGGGAAGTAAAGTGCGGAGGGGGAAAGTAACACGCTGGGGAGAAAGCAGGGCACGAGGGAAGTAGAGCTGGGAGAGGGGGGAATTAGCTCGAGCGCGCGGGGGAAGCAAAGCACGCGGGGAGGGGGGGGGATTAGCTCGAGCGCGCGGGGGAAGCAAAGCGTATGGGGGGGAAGCAGAGCGCGCCGGGAGGGGGGAAAGAATGACGAAGGTGAGGATGATGAGGATTTAGATCGATGATGTTGATGATGACGAAGAGAATGCGGGGTGGGGGAGAGGGGTCGGGATCAGAATTGAAGTGATTTCGATTTCGAATCGAATTCGATTTGATGTCAGAATCTAAATCGAAGTGATTTCGACTTTGAGAATTGTGATTGCAGAGAACGACGGGGAAAAGAGGATGAGAACAACGATCGGGGGGAAACGAGGAGAAAGGAAAAAGGAGGCTAAACGAGAGAAGAAACGACGAAGAAGAAGAGAAAAGAGAAAAGAAGAAAGGAAGGAATAAAATCGTATCTGCGCCTTGTCGTCAGCAATTCAGGATCGTTGATGACGTGGCGACGATGACGATGGCGTGGCAATGTTGATGACAAAGACGCTGATGACGTGGTGTCGTTGAAGCTGCTCCGCGTCGATCAGGGCGGTCGGGAAGCCAGTGTGACGAAGCAGAGACAGAGCAGCGGGCCTGGGAGAGAGAGGGAGAGTGAGAGCACACACACACGCTCACTCAACTCGACGCAGACTTGACATGACTTGACGAACGCGGACACAAAATGGCAAAGTCGCAAAGTCGCAGTCTTGAATTTCCAAACACAATGTCGACGCAAAGTCGCACTGAACACAAGCACCGAGGCTGAAAACTTTGTGCCCGTACTGGGCTTGAATCCGTACATAAGTACCGGACTCAAGTACGGTCCTGAGGGCGAAAGTGAAAATGCCTCAGGGCCAGAACAGAAAATCAAAAGTTTGAGAGTGGGCACCAGAATGTCGGATGGCGCCAAGTGTCCGAAATCGTAAAGTCCCGAAAGAAGGAATTTGAAAATGGGCGCCAGAATGCAGATGGCACCAACTGTCCGAAATCAGAAAAGCAAGAATTAAAAAACAAAAAGAATTGCAAAACAAAAAAAAAGGAAAACAAATACAGCGAGCTGGCGGGTGGTAACCCGCAGACCAGGGATCGAGTCCTGGCGGGGTCAGTAACAACCAAGGTCTGAGTCTGATCTCAGCGGGTGTATTCAGGGAGCGATCCAAGGCAGAAGACGGAGAGCACGAGAGAGGGGGAGCGAGTAAGGCTGAGCGATCCAAGGGAGGAGAGGGCGAAAGAGTAAGGCTGAGCGATACAAGGCAGGAGAGAACATGAGAGAGAGAGAGAGAGAGAGAGAGAGAGAGAGAGAGAGAGAGAGAGAGAGAGAGAGAGAGAGAGAGAGAGAGAGAGAGAGAGAGAGANAGAGAGAGAGAGAGAGAGAGAGAGAGAGAGAGAGAGAGAGAGAGAGAGAGAGAGAGAGAGAGAGAGAGAGAGAGAGAGAGATCCCTTGCCAGTGTGTTGCACTACGTTTTGGAGGGTTTTATTGAGTGTGAAACACCTTTAGTGTTTCAGTAAATGAAATTTTATCCCTTGTGAACTAAGCTAGCACATGTATGTTCTATATGAGGAGGTTAGGTTTAGAATATAGCCGGTCTTTGCTGGATGTTTGGGGGGTATGAGTGGATACCTAGCAGAAAGAGAGAGGGGGATATGTTTCTGGAGTTGAAAGGGACTGTCGTCTTTCTGAGTTGACAGATGTGTTGGTATACAAGGAGGTGAGGTTCGGAATATAACAGGGCTTCTATAGCTGTTTGGTGGGTATCCGTGAGAACTTAGCAGAAAGAGTGGGGGGTTATATCTCCTGAGACTGGGACCGTCTAGTATCTGACGATCTCTGGTTGTAATCCAATGCTACACACTGTCTGTCTACCTCTTATCCTTATCGAGAAGAAGAAGGAGGCAGCACCTTCAATTCACAGCTTGGTTGGCCCGGATGGTTGCTGTTGGATGGTGGACGTTGTTGTATGCAGGCGGTTGTACTTTTGAGGCGGGAACTGACTTTTGAGCAAACCATTTCTTTGTGGGAGGTGAGGACTTCATTCTCAAATCTTGCCGTAGTGCTTGACTACTTTCCCAAAATAGTAGTCTGTAGCAGACGTAGGTGCCAAGCGACTCCGTAGATAGAGAAAGGCACTTACAGAATGATCATGCGTTCTACTCGAGTAAAGTGGTTTATTCCCCTGGGTTTTGGCTTTGTGTACTCATCATTGTAAAGCTTCTTGGCTATGCATTGACTCCGACTGGTGTTTTTCTGCTGTCCGATCTGATCCGGGCTTCCTTTGTTTGTGTCCAACTTTTGCCCCGCCAGATGGGCACCTTGTCGTTTTCCTGCTCTCGCGGGCTGCTGTCAGATACACGAATGTGAGACGTCTGATGTAGAATTTTGTCTGTCTGCTATCTATGAATTGCCCTCTTCTACTGGGCCTCATAAAGCATTGCGCAAAGTGCGAAACTAGAAAAACGCAAACTGGTTAGTGAAGGCCGAAGCTCAGTGTATAAGCACGGCCTCACGAATTCAAGATCAACATTTTTTGGACTGAATAGCATTGTTCATCGTTTGGTTTTGTGGTTGTTTCTGTCATCACTGTGCAAAGTGTTCTGATTTTTTTTCTGTTTTCACATGGTTTGGCTGTTCGATTTTGCACTGGATGAAAGCCGCCGCCGCAACGGGCAAAATAGCATGGAACAGCAGCGCTTTACAGAGAGCTTTAGCATGACATGCACATGAACTGTTGAAATATGGACCGTAAGTTCGAATCCAGGCTGAATCAGATGAACAGAATAGAATAGTTCTGTATCACCTAGGGCTACTGGTCAGTCGAATGATGATATTCCTGCGCACAGGCAGATTCCGGCCGTTCTTTTCTCTCAGCGGGGATGGGGGTTCAATTTTCTATCGGATGAAACGCTGTGCAAGGGCAGAAGCAGCCCACACACACACAGGCTTGGCGCAGCCCCACGCAGGCGTACATGCCTGCACACACCCACCCATCCAGAAGCATATGCATCAACCCACCCCATCCACATACACACAAGCATGCACGGAGATGCACACACACAAGCATACTCACTCACACACACATGCATGCGCGCAAATGCAAACGCACATGCACACACACACGGTGGTCGGTATCCTATGGTCACTAATGTTGGATCAGAAATTGCCAAAACCACATGCAGGTCCACATACCCAAACACATCCACCCATCCAGAAGCATGCATCCACCCACCCCATCCACATACACACAACCGTGCACGGAGATGCACACACACAAGCATACCCGCACACACACATGCATGCGCACAAACGCAAACGCACAGGCACACGCACACACACACACTAGGACATCATCCGATTCTGCAGGTTGCGTGGCAGGGGGAGGTTCATTGCACTCTTGGTGTTGCTTACAGGTCCTGCAGTGTATTTTTGATTTATGGCGGCGCTGTAGGCCGTCGCAGAGGGCTCTTAACTTTTTTTTCAGACCATTGGCATGGCTGGTTGGTGCTTTTTTTTTTAGTCGAGCCTTTTTTGTTATGCTGTTTTGTGGGGCGACGTGGAGGGATCTCCAAGTTTTTTCGGACCTATGGCAGGAATCGGTGCTTTCTTGCTGGAGTGCTGTCTTTGGTAAGTTGCCTCTTGCGGAAATATATGTATATATCGTCAAACAGAGCTGCCCGGTAAACCGTAGGCAGAGAGCGAGAAGAGGACAATGAACGAGGGGCTGTGACAAACTGCTTCGTCGGAGTTTCACCGACTCATCAGGAGGCTGAACCCTCAACAGTCTGCAGAATCCCTTAACTGATTACACTGTAAGTGATAATCTACCTTAAACCCATTGTGTTTAAGCATCAACGCGTGCCCGACAACTGATACCCTGAGGTGGGAACCAGCCACTACCCTCAAGGTGCCTGTGACGAAAATCAAAGCAGACTATCACTCACCCACACCATATGGAAAACTCTACAGATTGTCGGTTCACACCCCATCACAAGCCAGCAAAACACCCACGAAACAAAGAAAGGTCTGTCACAGCCAGAAAACACACTCGAGACACGCCGCTGGCACTAGACGCACAGCATGGCCGCATAGTGACGGCCCCGACCACTGCCGCTTGACCTGCCGGAGAAAACCGTAGCAAGGTGCTAGGGAAGTCGTGGTATATATCGTCGAACAGAGATGCCTGGGAACAAGGACAACAAACGAGGGGCTGTGACAAACTGTTTCATCGGAGTTTCACCGACTCATCAGGAGGCTGAACCCTCAACAGTCTGCAGAATCCTCTAACTGATTACACTGTAAGTGATAATCCCCCTTAACCCCCGTTGTGGTTAAGCATCAACGACTGCCTGACAACTGATACCCTGAGGTGGGAACCAACCACTACCCTCAAGGTACCTGTGACGAAAATCAAAGCAGACTATCACTCACCCATGTATATGTGCAAGTGTGCCACTTCGGCGGCAGATGGGTGTGCGGGCACTTGGCGCTGAACCACACAAACGTGGCCAACCTTGCATTTTCTATTATACTGTCTATCTGTACTCTTTCGTTCTGGATGGTTTGTTATGATTTGTGGAGGAAATGAGAGAGAGAATTTGGGGTGCTTAAACAACACACACACGGTGGTCGGTATCAGTAGGGGCACTAAAGCCGGATCAGAAATTGCCAACTTCATGCTCTTCTGGGACGAAGCACAGTTCATCGACGAACTTCGCCAGTGAGGTCTGCGCCCTGGGCAAGCATATGAATTCACATATTAATTCATTGATGACATCCTATCATAGAAGACATCTCTGCCCCCCTCTGCTCGGTACGGTCTTCTGTGGAAAGGCACTACTGAGCAAGATGGGTCATGTCTTTTCCTTGGGGCTAGAATCTGCCAGAATCCTGGTTCGGCCGGACGGCTCACTTCGCATCGCTGTGTTTGATAAGGCCGAGGCTTGGACATTCCCTGCCATACGTTATCCCAGTGCTGCCTCCAATTCCCCTGTTCATGACCATGCAGGTGTGCTCATGGGACAGCTAACGAGGTTCTAACATACCTGTAACAATCTCACTGACTTCAAAGTTCAAAGCTGCAGTGACTCCCCGACACAGCGTATGCTTGTTAGGGGTTATCCTCCCAGTGTCCTGGCGAGAGGTAGGGCTGCAAACGTCCGCTCCCGGCAGCGTCGGCTGCCCACTCATGTCACACGGCTTTCGAACTGGTTTCACCGCATGGTGCGCTGGGCAATTGATCACCCACTGCTGCATGCTGATTCTGCGCACAGGGCCTTCACACAACCACATGCAACAGGCCACCACCCACTCCCTAACACCAATTCTGACCTTGGGCAGCATCAGCCTTCACAAGCAAACGCAGCGGGGCCCCGCCCTCTCCTGTTATTCCTACTGAAATGATAGACTCTGATGTGGATAGGCCAACTACAGCTGGAGACCGTGCCTGAAGTCCTGCATACTACCAATACGGCGACTGCGGCTGAAGTGTACCTAATCCACCTCCACCACCCCCACTTTGGCCTCCACCACCACCACCACCACCACTACCGCCACCACCACCACCATCACCACCACCTCCCTCTCCAACATCCTCTACTACATCATCCCCTCAGTCATCTGCCTCCTCTTCTTCCTCTTCCTCTTCTCCCTTTTCCTCCTTTCCCATCCTCCTCCTCGACCTCGCATGCCTCCAAGACAGCGGCCTCGTTTGTCCTTGAACAGCATGATCACCCCGCCCCCTGCAGGGGTAAGAGGTCTGCTCCGACAACATGCTCACAACCATACGGTACAACATTGTCGAACATGCTCACAACCATTCGGTACAACATCGTCACTGTCGATATACACCAGCCAGGAATAGTAGGTATCGAGTCCGATGCCCGCAATGTGGCGATGATTCCTTTAGTGCTGCAGGCCTGCAGGTGCACCAGACACGACGTGCAGCTACTTGTGCAGCTTTTGCACGATTAGCAGTCACTATGAGCACAAGTGCGGCTGATCAGCTTCCGCTTCCTGCATCTGACCACCCATTCCTTATCCACCTGGACTTCTTCCTCCGCCCCAACTGAAAATGATCTCACTCCGGAGCGCATACTAGAGCCAATGGAGTTGATAAAGCCGGAGGAACATGACAGAAATACTCAATTCTGCAATTAATCCCAGAAATAGTCAAGACCGCAATGAATCCCCGCCTGCCGTGCCATCTGCAGAATTGGATGAACCTTCCCCTGCTGCACAATCTGCAGTATCAGATGATATCATAGTGCTACAGCAAGGCTGCTGTGCGTACTATGCCATTAACATATGTCTCCTCGCTTACAATTGCAATCCTTATCCTGTCTCTGATTTTGCAGACGTTGCATGCTGGATAGATGTAGAGCACTGTGCTGTCTGACCAGCGAATGACAGTACTGCACTGGCGTGAACATAGAAGTCCTGTCTATGGCATTTATGGGTAGGCAAATACAACTCCAGTCTGAATCACATGCCAGGCATGGATCAATATTTGCGCTTACATCCTACATCGTCCAGGCCATTTCAGTGCTCTTGCCTTTGCGGATAACTTGTGGACTCGATGGGATAATGGAGGCGGGGTGCACACACTGGGAAATATCAACTCTTTCTATCACCAAGAGGTAGAATATCACTCGGTCTGGCTGGTCCGTCAGGAACACTATGTCGTTGCGCACTCGCAAGCTCTACGGAGAGCAATCCGGCTGAACCTCCTTCTTCCCCTATGCATGGCCAGGTAGCATCTTCTCCCTGTGTAGATCGGACAGAGTCTACCATGGACAGTGAAGGATCCTCTCCAGAGGACGGTGACTGTGCCATCCCATTCTGTTGCCACACAGCTACATTACCGTTAGCATGCACACTGCATAGTCTCTGATCTGAACAATATGAAGGGATGGTCACTGCCAGCCTCTTCCGCAAAAACTATGACCCTTTGTCTTGTCCTCATCCCTCCCACCCCCTAGTTACTTGCCCTGTAGGCCGTCATGGACTTGACATTCCATGCCTAAATAGCTGTGAATGTCAACCTGCTTTCCTGCTGACATGTCTTGTCAATGTTTCCAGGAAGCTGTCATAGAAAGTATGTCGCTCTACTGCCTGGACTATCCCCGATGCCATCATCCACCACACCCTCTCTTAGCGTGTCCCACATGCAATGTTGGGCACACACATGCTGCAATCGCAATGGGATCTCCTTCATCCTTGCCAGGCGAACGACGGATGCAGCAGCATGAGGAGGAAAATAGACTACCATATGCACCACCCACAGAGCGCTGTACTGAAAGCTTATTACCACCAGGGCGAGCCGTGGCAGACCAAATCGTGCAGCAGCTAAACACCCTTTCTTTGGATCAATCCCAGCCGTTGTCTGCCCATAGAGAAGGAATAAATACTGGGGAAACCTGCTAAATGTCCTCTGTGATGGCCCACCAGAGATTCGGCTAGCATGTGGTTCACATGCCTTGTGCCGTGAGGATGATGAAAGGATAACCCATGCGATACATATGATGAAAGTCAACATTGCACTCATGTACGGGACCCTGACATGTAGACGGCCTGGAACAGCAATGCCTCTACAATTGCAATCAGCTTGCCTATGTGTTCCTAGCATGGAAGAGCCACGTTGTCTGCGACATCTGTCCACGCAGTGCAATTCCAGCTTCCCCCTCCACTCCTCAATGAATCCCGTTCCTCTGCCTCCGTTCCCCCTGTGCTTCACGTCCGCCACCCTACTCGGCCACTCCCGTTCCCTGGCCCCACCCGCTCCCAGCCTCCGTTCCCCCTTGCCACTGCTACTCCCATTCCTCTGATATGGCGGCGAAGTTGTCAGCTCTCACTCCCGCAGACAAGACCCCCCATTCTCCTGACATGGGACAACTACAGAGAAGATAGATAGATAGATAGATAGATAGATAGATAGATAGAGAGAGAGAGAGAGAGAGAGAGAGAGAGAGAGAGAGAGAGAGAGAGAGAGAGAGAG